TGGTGATCATAAATTCACTACCAATGCTTTTTGTTTGGGACCAAGAACCGAGGTTGTGGTAGTCATACACTGGATTATTTATTTAGGTAAAGCAATACAAAGATACATGAAATCAAAAAGAAAAGTCTGGAGAACAGAATCCATGACAACCTTTGGAGGGACAAGATCAAATATTAGCAACAATAAGAGAGAAGCGCATCATCTGAGTTTTTCAGAACTTCAGGATTATAAAAGCTTTTGGTCCAGCTGTGATTCATGCAAGAGTTTTTAAAGAATATGCTATGCAACTTCAAATATGTTTTACTTTTAATTTTTGTGTGTGTGTGTGTGTGTGTGTGTGTGTGTGTGTGTGTGTGTGTGTGTGTGAACTGAATGTAGATCTTTTTCCTCATGGTTCCTTTGGTCTGCAGTGGCCCTGATGCTACGATATTTAACCCTTAGAACAGATGAAGTTCAGTTCCTCTGTGTCGTTTCTCTGGAACCATCTATGTTCTCCTCCAGCCTGCATGGCTCCAGAAATGTTACAGTCATTCATCCATCCTGCTGAGGTCGAGTTCTGATAGCTGATCTTCTCCTTACAGACCCAGAACCAGATGTTACGAAAGCAGTGGAACCGCAGACCCAACCAGATAAAAGGAGTCGATGCCTCCTTGACTTTCTCCTGAACCAGTTTCTGATCATCCATGTTGGTGATGGTGACCAGGTCATGGTGGTGGTGACCTCTGCAGTAGGTCAAGGCGTCCTTCCAGGTTTTATTTTCCTTTACCAGGATAACTTTATCTGTAACAGGAAACAAACAAAATCACTCACAACTGTATCGACATTAATATTTGGAAACATGGACAATGACATGCAGCATAAACAAGCAAAAATGAATGTTATTTGAGAAAACATTTTGAACATTTTAAATATATTTTTAATAAAATGTTCATGATTTGAGATTGAAAAAATGTATAGTTCAAAATCAGTTATAAGTATTTAAAGATTTAAATAAACAGATAAAATGCATTCAATAGGGCGTTACCAGTACTAATCACTCTTTTAGTTATTTACTCACCATCATAACAGATGAAGGGTTTTCTTTGATCACAGTTCTCATTCCTCCATCTGCCTCCATCATTAAACCCAGTCATGGCACATTGACCACTGTTGATTATCTGAATGTCAAACCCTTTACTCCAGTGTCTGAAAGAGAAACTGCTTCCATCTGACCACCTCCAGGTGTCTCTGAACAAACCAGTTAAAATGTATGTATTTTCTCCCACATGGCTGATTTCATCCTTCACTTCTTCATCCTGTAGCTGCTTCGTTCCACTGATCAGGTCTGTGTGTTTCTCTCTGCAGTAACTCTGAGCTTCTGTCCAGTTTTTATTTTCTTGAATCAAGTGGAATTTCTTGGATGAATTTCTGTCTGTGTGAGAAACAAAGTGTGAGCATCAGCCTAGTCAAATATTTTCTCTGCTTGCAACAAAAATGACATGTTCAACTATTCAAATCACTCACTTCCATTTATTTTCTTAAACATGGTAAAGCAGTAATTTTGAGTTAGTTTCTTTAACTTTTGAGAATAAAGTTCTATCCAAAATACTTGATTTGAATTCAGGCTTAAGCTCAAATGTTCTCACCATCATAGAACAGAGAAAATATTGAGGTATAATAACATATATTTTAACCAGTAAACACATGGATACTCACCTATAATAAATAAATGTGAAGTGTGAGCTGAGAATGAAAACTTACATCTGCAGTGCTGCTTATGCTGCCTTGACGTCTCAGTGGATCTTCTGTTCTGTTGTAACTTTTCTAAGCTTGGACATTTTTGCGGAGGAATTTTAATGTTCAAATATGAAAAAAAAGACACATCAGATATTTAGGTTACCATATTTGCAGTTTTCTAAAACATATATTTATTGATAGATTTTAAGGAAAAGTCACTATGTTTACACTTATGTTTTCTTACATTGACTAAAACATTCAGTTTATACTGGATGTTTTATGCAGTGTCAACAGGGTTGACATACAGTTGGTCATGTCATTGTAATCCAGATAATAAACAGCAGCGTCATCATAACATGCAGACAAAAATGTTCCCGCGTTTTGTAATGAATAACTTTAACAACAGCCATCTGTTCAGAAGTACGTCAGACTAGTTAGATGGAACGGTTCTCATTTGCATCTCATTTGCATTTCAGAGGTTTCACTCTGCAGCAGATGAAGCTGCTTACTTTATTATGTTTATCCTGGATCTCATGTATAGCTTCCATTCAACACTAATGTTAGCATTTGAATATTAAAACATTCTGGCTGAAAATCTTCAGTCACGGAATAAAGTCAGGGGAATTTTTACTTATTTATCTAGAACATAAAGATCTTTTTAAAACCACTTTTATGCGCTCTACCTGTTAAAACGCACCGGAACCCATTTAATCCCGCCGACAACAATTGTTGCAGAGTACAAAACCTAAAATGGCACTAACATAACCAACATAAAATGTGATAATGAATAAATATCATGGTTAGGGAGGTGCAAGGATTGAAATGCAGGCACTTATTTTGCAGGAAAAAATTTGGGATTAAATGGGTTAAAGTAGAAGCAGATTCTGGCAAATTACATTTAGTTGCAACAATCTCAATCAAAGAAAAGTCTCCTAACTCCAGTTCAATAAGTCTGCGCAAAATCCACAGCTTACGCAAATTATCACCTGAACACCTGAACTTGGAGATTTTGCAGGAGCCAAAACGCAAATTCACTTAAATTGTTCTTCAGCATAGTCTTTAAATTATATCTAAAACATTTATCTGAAATCTCAATCTAATAGTGGTCAGCTCTTTTCAGTAGTTGCTTTTAATGCAAAGTTGGCACTTTTAATGCAACTTGTAGAGCAACTTTGCATTAAAAGTGCCATTATTTACCGAATGACACTTCATGACAACAGTCTTCCTTCATGTTCATGACAGGTGTTATGTCACTCTATTACACATCACGTCAAATAAAGTGTTACCGTCAGGAGAACAACACAGTTTACTTGTCAATAATGATTCCTGCTTGTTAAATACACATTTTATAAAGTCTCTGTATTGTGTCCTGATCTCAGTTACACGGAGTGCAGAATGTCAAGCACTTTCTTTATAAGGGCTCTCAGGTTGGTGACTTTCTTAATTGTTACTGTAAGTGGTTTTAGAGAAGAGCTAGAAAAAAAATATATCAAGACTAATTAACAGATCATGGAAAAATATTTATTTCTTCTAAAATACTCAAATACTCAAAAATACAGAAAACACAAAGGGAGCTGGACTTAGACACACAGGATTTATGGAGAAGAAGAGACGTTAAGATAAAATAAAACATAATGATCAGAGAAACGATTGTAAGAAACATAAAAATAGAAGAAAAAGAAACACAAATACCAGCATTAATATTAACATTCTGCTATCCTGAGTATTTTTCTTCACATGGGAAAACCAGGAAAGAAAATCCTGTTGTTGGTTTTTCCTTCCACAACAAGGAAAACCACAGAACATTTAGGTTGTTTTTTTTCCCCCCTTTTATGTTTTCATTGAGTCAAACCCTTATTAACCTATAAACAGATTTTATTTACATCTCATTTACGTTTTATTCCAAGCTTTGTCTTTTTTTTTTTTTTTTTACAGGTGAAGCTACTTCCTCTGGATCATTCTTCCTGGTTCTCATGTACGTCTTCTATTCATCACTAATGTCAGTATTTGAATATTAAATTACTCCATCCAAACATCTGTTCCTGTCACGAAACTCAAAGGCATTTTATTTTATTTATGAAATGAAGAAAACTTTTTAAAACGTTATGAAGATTCGGAACATTTTAAGCTCCATAAACTAAAATTGATTTGTTTTTTCAAAAACATTTATTTCTTTGCAACTTCATGAAAGAAGAAATGTTTTTGTATTTATTTTTAAATAAGGTACCTTAAGGAAGTCATGATTAAGAAAACTGCATAAATTAGTCATTTAAAAAAAAAAATGTGTGGTTCGTTCTGTAACCCTTACAGGTGCAAAAGCTTCTTGGTTAGAGAGTTTCTTTTCATTATGAATGGTGCCAAATACAACATTTTTCAGATTTTTTTTTCTCTACATACTTTAAATTTGATTGTACTTTCTCAAGCCAATAAAATAAATATAGTTAAGAGAGTTTCCTGCTTCTCAGATATTCAACAATCTTTCAGAGATCTGATGTCATTTCAGGTGTTTGCATGAATATGTGATCTATGTCTCTGTGCAAAGTTTATGTGAAGCTTCAGGCACAAATTAAAAGTTGGGATGAATGTCAATAAATGCCAAACAGCTGATGTACCAAAACTAAATGACTCAGTCTGACAATTGCCAAACTGTAATTATGCATTTGTGTCTTTTGATAATGACACAATTCAAGAGGCAGATACAAGTTTTTGAATTAACGTTAAAATTTGTCTTCCTTGAGGTTCAGGCCAATCAAAAAATTAAAAGTCTAATGATGCCTGGTTAACAGCAACTATACTACTGGCCTCTATGTAGAACAGATGAAATTAAACTTCTCAGTATCATCCTTTTTACACCACTGATGGTTCCCTTTTGTCGCCATGGCTCCAGACATGTCACAGTCGTCCATCGGTCCATCTAAAGCCCAGTTCTTATATCTGACCACCTCGTCACTGACCCAGAACCACAAATCCAGAGTGCAGGCGTAGCTCAGTCCCATCCAGACATAATCAGTCGAGGCAAATTGGGCTTCCTGCTGGACAGCTCTCTGTTGATCCATGTTGGTGATGGTGACCAGGTCATCATGATGATCTCTGCAGTAGATCAAGGCGTCCTCCCAGGTTTTATTTTTGTTGATCAGGATATACTTATCTATTTACATAGTGAAAAACAAAAGGAAAAGCAAAGCACAAATGGCACAATTTAAATCATTGTTGTGGAAAATTAATGAAACATAAAAAAATAAGTCAATAAATATGTATCATTTCAACAAACTTCTGGTGTCAACAGGTTTAAACAAAGTTGTATATTTTGGTGTTTTAGATCGGCTCTAGAGAGATTCTTATCCTTGTTTAGAGTTCTTGAAGAAAAACTCACCATCATAGCAGATGAAGGGTTTTCTTTCATCACAGTTCTCATTCCTCCATCTGCCTCCACCATCAAACTCAGTCATGGCACATTGACCACTGTTGCTTACCTGAATGTCAAACCCTTTATTCCAGTATCTGAAAGAGAAACTGCTTCCATCTGACCACCTCCAGTTGTCTCTGAATAGACCAGTGTATGCTCTACCATCTGAAGAGTTCATCAATTTCTTCACTTCTTCATCCTGTAGCTGCTTCGTTCCACTGATCAGGTCTGTGTGTTTCTCTCTGCAGTAACTCTGAGCTTCCTGCCAGGACTTCATCTCTTTAATCAAGTGATATTTATGGGTTGTATTAGTTTCTGTGGAGTAATCAAACATATTTATGTTTACCATGTTTGTACAAAATAGATTAAAAAAAACTGATAAAAAGATGAACATTCTCACCATCAGAGCAAAGGAAATTATGTTGATTAAGGCAGCTGGTGTCTATCCATTTGAGATTTTTATTCATATGCACACAGTTCTCATGTGTTACTTAATTTCCGTTACCAGTCGGTTCTCCTTTGGGTTCCAGTTTGTCTCACTTTCATTAAACTCCACTCCAGGCAGAGACCAGT